GGTCCACTAGTATATGTATATATCTACAGCGGTTTTTCAGTAAACACGTAAATACAAAAGAATAGTCTTGTGCTTATCGTTATACTCGTATAACATAATAATATCTGTCTATCCTCTTTTGCAATTAGCGGCTACGTATTTCTAATCAAAGATTCAATTATAAAATAAAAATTTCCCTGGTAAATTAGCGCTAAAATAAATTCTAAATTATATTCGGTAATTTCGCCATATCAATCAATCCAGATTCAGACTGTATATAGATTTTTTTTTGAACAGGGGGCAAACCGGTAGGAGGCTCATCTGATGTTCAGTGAAACCGCCCATGAACACTCTCAATGCCAGAGGACGCGCGAGTGCGTTGCCGGCCTTTCAAGAAATGGCACGCTCTTTTCTTAAGGACATAAGTCGAATTGTTTCGGAAATACTTCAGTGGGCAGCTGGTTCCACATAGTGCAGCGAAGTTTTGCCGATTAAATTAAATTCTATAAATATAAACGCTGAACACTTGCTGTAAAGCACTCGTAACTCGTGTCACAATCAGCATCATCACCATCATTAGAAGAGTCGAAAAATCTGTTTTAAGTCAAAATTCGTATTGCTCATCCACTTGCTTTATACAACTCCTGCTTTTCTCATCCTCTGTATCTTCTTCTTCTGGCCCCCCATGACTAGTGATATGTAAATTATGTTTATATCTGTTTAATAGTTGTCTAAAGTAATTTAATTGTCTTTGGTTACATATAAAAGTTAGAATTTGGGCCACCGACGTAGTAAGTAGCTCAAATGCTAAGTAATGTTTATTCACATTTCCGGTTGATGTTTAGAAACTGGAATTGATCGAAAACCGAGCTGAACACGTGAAAGTGCGTTGGCGATGCATTGTTTCCACGACACATGACCGCTTCGAATAACTTCACAAACGATTACATAAGGCATACTAAAATGGTAAAGATATATATTTATTTATCATTTACATAAATAAAATAAAACTTATCAACTGCTCAATGTTAATCTACTAACATATTTTACTACTATTTAAAAAACATCATTCAATTACACAAAATTATTTATATATTTCAGACTAGAAATGTCATATAAGAATCATAATATAAATAAGTATTTATAACCTTAAACAACTAAAGAGTTACTTGAACTACTAGTTACCTAATTTGACTACAATTCAAATAATAAAAACATCTAACATTCGTCTCTCACTCAAAATATACGTAGTACTCAAAAAGTACGCCAAAAATTACGTAAACGAATTTCCTTAAAGCTTTTTATGTCGACTAAACATCACGTCTTCATCACTTTGCCTTAAAAAAATCCCAAATAAATTTTTAAATATATTTATGAAGAAATTCCTGAATTTCTCTACTATCACTTCAACCCGTTCAAGTGTCAATACTACATAGCATACTCTGTAATACGTATCTTTAAGCGTATCATATAGCGCCTAGTAACAAAATGTAACTGGAAGCTCACATAATACGAGTATAACATAATCACTACGGTTATTCTATAATCTATTTAAAATTCAAAAAATTAAGAATAATATTTGTCCTGAATGTCATTTCGTATTTCATATAATCTGTGGTAATATGTATATTTTTATGAACGAAAAAATTTAAATTGAAGTCCGCCTATCGCCCATCACGTCTAAATCAATGATTATTATCATGTATTTTAATTTTTAACTTAATGTGTATTTATGGTTATACTTACTAAATGGTCATACTTTTTACTCAACAAATGAACTTTAAATGTAAGTAGCAAAAATATTATCTTTTTAACTTTTGTTAAACATTTTATTTTAACTACCTAATCTCTCATTGACTAAGAATCTGTCTCTTTGTCAAATTAAAAATGGTAGAGCTCAGTGCTTTAATAAAAATTCTAATATTAAATTAGCATTTTGGTAAAAGGTATCTACACCATTTTATTTGAATGATCGATACAGATCGCCTTTCGCTAGTGAGTCGAGTGCCCATCTAGCCGTGTGTAGCATCTAAAAATTCATGACGCGGCGTCAGCGAATGCAGCCGGTCTCGCGCCATCGGCTAATGAGTGTCACGAGGGGGAAGGGGGGAGGTAATGGCGCGGCGTCGGATGTCGCCGGGGGGTGCCGCGACGATAACAAAATCGCTAGGACGTGGCGCGCGAAGGCGAAAACAAAACGTGGTAATTTTGCGTTCTAGAGATATTTACTGATTAAAATCGCACTATGTATAGCAAACTATAGTTTCTAATACGTCTAGAATACGTCCAGTAGATTGTTAGAATAAACACACACCATAGTTTTATTTCCTCATAAAATTCGAAGATAATATACTGTAAGCGCAAAAAACGAAGAACTAGGTATTATACAGTTTCTGGAATATTATTATTCTATTATAGCCCTAAAAGATCCCAATTTGTAGGATTTTGCTTAATAAAAGTTCTTCTAATAATAATGTATGAGAATAAAGTGACATATCCAATCTTTAAAATCCTTGGGCATCGGCAATGCCCGAAATACAGTGCGGGCGACGCGTCGTAAATCGCGACGCGAGTCGGCAAGGGCCTTTGTGTGGCCTCGACTTGGCACAAACATACCTAGCACGACGGACAGCTATGTAATATACATGAACGCTGAAGGCTACTAGGTACGCGACAAAAACAATTCAAGTTCTTATGTTGCTACTTCAAATAATTAAAACGACTTTGTTCAAAACAGGATTCTCATGAGTCATGTCAGTTGTGATGGTTAGATGTGATTGCCTTCTAGACGATAGATTTTTTCAAATACATATAGGTATCGCTACTAGTTTCTACAGAGATATATATATATATATATATATATATATATATATATTCAGAAATGAAATGGAAAATCTACCGTTGAGCACTTTCTTTTTCTTCCTGTTCTAGAACCTTATCTTTACCGAAACGAAATACTTAAGTTCCGATATTTCGATTCAGTATAAAACATTTCATTCCATAATATTTTAAATAATGATTGCAAATTAACTAATTTTTCGCTGAGAAAAAGTTGAATATTAGGTTACCTACTTTAATAAATGTCATAAAACTAAGACGAAATTCGTAGACAGCCCCGAGACGATTTTACGAGATAAAGTTTCAAAGTTAGAAAAGTTACTTCCCCGGAAGTTGCGAAAAAGTTCTGTCTTTAGAAAGTGGATGCGTTTGGAATTAATTGCATTAATAAAGTGCGGTGTTTACGGGTAGGGGCGGGCGGGGAAGGGGCGAAGGGTGCGGACAAAGGAGAGGCGCGGCCGGCGTCCGGCGATCCGCGACCGGCCTTATCACGGCACTCAGTCGAAGTCCGCGGTCCGCGACGACCGTTTCGCGCCAACTTTCGGTAGTGACGTGATCTGTGTATTCACAAACTATAAAGTGAACACGTGCCCAGCCGCGCAGTGCGCATCAAGCGTTTTGCAAAAATTGCAGTTCAAGTGCGTTTAAAATAAACCAAAACGGCTGACCTGTCGAGAATTGTAAACACAACACACGTGCCAGCTCGCAAGTAAGTTTGTCAACATTTCTCAGTTCTTGGACTTGTTTAAGAGTTTTTAATTAAAAAATTTTCGAATTTCGGTAAAACTTAAAAAAAACGTTGTTAAAATAGAGATAGTGTTTAAATGCGGAACATCAGATATTTCAAAGTGCAATATATTTTAAGCTGCATTTAGCTATACGGAAATAAATTTATGTATTTTTATCCGAGTTTCAGTTTATAAGTTATCGAAAGACTTTTAAATTATAGACTTTCTTGTAGTCGCGATTACCTAGTTTTATAGAAAATTATAGGGTATAATGTGTCTTAATTATAGGTACCTAAGTATATTATAATTATTATAAATATATTTTATTGAAACTTAATATAATAAAAATAATCACTAGTTATTTGTTGGTCGTTGGTGAGACCTAAAATTTTAATATAGGTACAGTACTTATAAGTGCGAGTTAGTTTTATATTAATGTTTTTTATAAGTTATAAAATTTTTATAAATTGTCTCTGCACAAAGACATATTAACATTACGATCTAGTCTAACTTAAGACTAATAATTAATTTAAAACGAACCTAATTGACTAAAAAGTATATTTTATAAGTAATCAAATTTAATAACAGTTAGGTTTTTAAAATAATTTCAAATTCATAGGAGTAATAATGCGTAAAACGATTCGTTTTTTTAATACTAAGTATTTCTGCAGCTTTTATTTCCACTCGTACCTATAGCGTGACAAATAGAGAAAAGCTAAAATTTCATAGTAAAACTACTTGTGGGATTTTATTATTTTTTCCCATTGTAATGTCTTATCTATTCGATAACAATTGATTTCACCTCCAAAACCAAGTAAATTGCAATACTGTTGTGTTATGATCAAAACAAAATACACAGCTATATTGATTGTCGTGCGATTATAACACTCATAACGCCATCTATCGGCGCCCAGCGCAAACAAACGTCACAAGGTCACCATGTCAACGACCCAACAACTTTTGCCGCTGAGTGTTGTCGTAGGTCATAATTTTATGACTTCTTTTTGTTTATCTTTTTCGTAACTTTATCGTCATATTACAATTAAACTTTGGTTCCGATATCATTTTGTCTAATTCAAGTTTGGCTGTAAACTTGTAGGTGTTAATTGTTATGACACATTTTAAAAAGTTCATTGCTCAACTAGACTGGTTTATAGTTTAATCATATGATTTCAAATATCTTTTTAAATATTGTAAAATTATCGGGCAAAAGAGGCAATTTTTTTAATCCGTGATATTGTCGTTAATATTCCGCGAAGGAATATATTATCGTAAGCATTTATTCGTTAGTGATTGTTATTTATTAAATCAAAATCATCTTTTAGTTTTAATGCGATTTTGATTACACAATACGCTCGCTTGTTGCGGTATTGTTATGTGATACATCGCACATAGATTTTGTCATTTAAATTAATTCTTTATTGTTTTAATTGTTACAGTAAGCGAGAGCCCAAAATGAGTACAAAGGGCAAGCGGCCGATGCGTGCCCTGACCCCTGGAGATAAGATCGAAGCCATTCAGCGAGTTAATGATGGTGAATCAAAGGCTTCAGTTGCAAGAGACATTGGCGTTCCCGAATCTACTCTTCGAGGCTGGTGCAAGAATGAGGACAAACTCCGTTATATGACTTCGCGTTTGTCATCACCTGAAACTGATAAGAGCAATGATGGAGAACCCCCAGACAAGAGAGCACGAACGGAATCCCCTACTGGTCCCCAATCGCCTGCCACTGCTGGTCTTGATCTCACTTCTTCCGTCAGCGTACCGCATACTGTATCCCAACCGATTCCGCCTGCTGACGCACCCGTCGAACTGACCACTAAACGTGCTGAGCCCTCTCCCCCGCCCCATGCCCCTCGCGACCGCCGCCCTGATCCCGGAGCCAGTGTCTCAATGAGTGCTATTAGCCCACTATCCGGTCTCGGCCATTTGCCGGGCCTCGCTCACTCACATTTAGGACTGAGCTTTAATGAAATTGCAACCAACTTAACCTTATTAGCTCAACTGAATCCTGGCCTATCAGCTCTATCCGCTCAACCCGCAAGTCGCGCTTTACGTTCAGTTCGCTCCCCCAAACCTACACATAACGGTGTCTTAAATCTCAATGACAACAAACATCGTAGCAAATCAAGCCATTCAACGGATCACTACAGACACAGTTCCAAATCAAGTCACCATGGTGTCCCACAGAATCCTGCAAATCAGCCTGTTGACGATACACTGTGGTATTGGCTCAAGACGCAGCAAGCTATGCTCGATCTAACTGCACAAACAACAGCCGCTCATCCCTTACAATTAAGTAAGCCTAGTGAACCGACATTACCACCGAAACCCGTTGCTCCCGCGCCTCCCATCGGCTCCCATCTTGACTATAATAGGAATTCTTGGTTATGGCAATACTACAAACAATTCGGAGGGGCCATGCCATTACCAGAAGATAAACTTAAGTCAGCATCGCAGGTACCAAGAGATAAAGCAGCAGAAAACATTCTGTACTCCCATTTAACAAAAGGTAAACCAGAAGAACACATCGCAACTATAACACCGCCATCGCCACCGAGACACCATCAGGACCTGCAGAGAGTTCCAGACCATGAGGAAACACGCTTGCCTGAAGCGGAAACTTTAACGACCCCGGAACTGGGTACTGAAAATAAAGAGCCTGTGTCTGATAGAAGCTCGGAGACTGGCAGAAGTCAGATAAAAGCTCGGACTGTGCTCGACAACTTACTATTTAATAACTCAAACCAACCACAAGGAAGTGACGATGCTAAAATCAACAGTATGTACAATGGCGGATGGGAGTCAGGCACGGCAGAGGCGCTAGAACATGGGGAGAAATTCTTAGCGTGGCTAGAGGCGAGTGGCGACCCTAGCGTGACGCGTATGCACGTGCACCAACTGTCTGCCCTGTTGCATAACCTGCGCACGCGGCGGGCGGCCGTGCCCGTTGCGCCGGCTGGGACCACCGATGGCGCACGTCGCAAATAAGCGTCCAGACGGGAACGCGCTCGCTACAGGGAATACATCAATTACTTTGTACATAGTCATAGTTATTTCGTCGCCAGTAAGCGTTCACTTGTGATATGTGTAGCCAAATTTGCGTACATTTTTTCTTTGTTCTAAAAGAAAAGCTATGCATTATCCTTTATTTTAGAACTAAGTTATAGATAAGTCGATTCTGGCGCTGTTCTCTTAAGCTTTGTCGAGTGTAAACACTTTTCACTGATATCAATTTTATTATAATATAGTAGACAGTCAGCATAATACATCAACTAAACACATTATACTTTTCCATGCACATAAGCTGTTACGTGATTAGAATAAGTAGTACTGGTGTATGTTTCCACTTGAATGTTACATTCCTAGCAAAACTATTGTAATAGTCCAAATCCCTGTGTTCTACCTCAAGTCGTATCTATGCTAAGTCACGGCGCTTTGAACGCTTCATTATTTGTATATTGTAGCCGAAAGAGGAGTACAAAATCTGATTATAACTGATGGTTGGGTGAGTAGATACCAAATATCGAACGTATAGGTAGTAATCAATGTGCCAATCGTGCGAGAAACTTGTTAAGATTTAAATATTATTATTATGTTGATGATACGCAGGTAATTGTTTTTATTGCTCAGTATTTTATATGGTAGACGTGTGTCTCGACTCGGAATTGTATTATATGTTAACTTTAACAGTTAAGGATACTGTGATCAAAATTATAAATTATTGAGAGATTATTAATATTATAAGAACATTCCTATGAATAGAGTGTATTATCTTAATGTTAATGTCCAACTCCAAGGAGATGGAAGTGTCATTAGAAGAGTTCAAATCTCTATTTCTTTTTCTCTATTGTTAGAATAGTTAACTTACATTTCGTGTTGATGGTACCTTTTAGCTCCACTGAATTTTTCGAGAGATTGATATTTTGTACAAAATTAAGATTATAAATACTCCTAACACAGAGTTTGTGAACTTGAAATGTTAAAGAAATAAAAATGATTGAACCTTAACTTTGGATTTTATTTGTCACTTAATATAAAAATATTTTCTTTTTATCCAAGTAAATAATAACAATTAACTGTTTTTTATAACCTGCTTATGAAGTACACATAGGTTAATTATGCATATACGAAAGCGGAGACCGCTAATAATACTGTATGTTTTGACTTTTCTTAAACTTTAAGACGACACTATTAGAACGAGTGGCGCCATCTAACAAATGCAGAGAAAACAAATTATAAGAGCCATCATTTGTACATTATCAAATTATCACTAAATACAATTTTAAATAAAGTTATGTTACATTTAATGCCAAATAAAAGGCTAAAAATAAATCGAGCGTAATAATTTCAATGTATTTAGTATTTAAATACGAATATATTCTAGTCCTCCCAGTGTCATCTAGCGAACATTTTACGAAACAATCTACATATCATAAAGCCACCTACATATGTAGGCCTTAAGTAACGTAAAGTTCTGTAACTTAATAGCTCGTAAGTTTCAATAAAATAGTTACTCACGTGCAGCATTGGTTTGTTGAGCGGTTCGAAGTCGAAATAGTCCGACATAAATTCTGCCACTCCTTGCCATGTGTTTGTATCAGCGTAGCACAGCTTTGTTGGACGAATAGTGGTGCATACCATTTTCTATTGAAAAAGGTTCTATTATTTTTTAACATATTCTTAATATCAACTCCTCTATGAATTTAGATAAAATGGAAAATTTTGACCTAGGCATGCAATTAAGAAAGCGTTTCTAGCTTTTTTCAAGCCAGCGATCTCGAAGTTTGAAGGGCCTTAAAATTTTACTTATGAGATTTGCTGAACTATGGACAGAAGATATGAAGGCTGGTAAAGCGACACTGGAAATGACTTTAACTTAACTTCTGTACTGTTAGTGCTGACCTCTATACGTCGACCAAAGAATGTTTGATTTTCTCAGTATTGCCTAGACTCAAAAGATGTCGTTTATAGGCAAAACATCAAACGTAATACAGCTACTAAAATAGAAAACAAATCACGTTTGCTGCACTAATTCAAACTCAACTAAAATAGAAAGTAGTTAATAGTATTTAAATTATATAACCATCGTTATCTTGGAGTCTGCGAACTACTGCTAGTCAATGTGATAATAAGAAATTCAATCACTTTGTTTACATCTATAAAATTAATTTACCTATATGTATTGTCTATTTACTTAGTTGCATCAAGAGTTACATAATGAATTACCTGTAAACCGCACTCATTTGGCGCCTGTAACAAAAGTGGTTTCCGTAATTTATAATGAAACTGAAACTGACGTCGAAAATTTTCCGCGTAGGCCAAAATGAGCCTTTCCTTATTATTATTGGTGTAATAGCTTTTTGGGAAACAAGTTCTGGTCTCAAACACGGGTTCTGTGATTTCGGGCCAACACAAATTAACAATGCCGAGTTCGTAAATTGCATTATTCAAAGATTGCAGAGTTAATGGTTCTAATATGTCTTTTAGACTAAATATGTTTGGTGGAATCTCTTCGATATCATTTTCTTCAACGGGTCGATTGAAAATCTCACTTCCAATAGCTTCGTTTACTTCGAGAACTGTATCGAGGGTCTCCAAGTCGGCTTTCTTTTCTTTGTCAGCAGGTGTTTCAGAAATAACTTTCACGGTACTCATTTTAATTCACTAACATAGTTAATAACGGAAATATTAATGTTAATCTGGTTATTTAATGTAAAAAATATTGACTGAAATTTTCAGGATTTCAGTTGCTAGGTAACTTAGTCAAATTGTTTACTTGGATAAACTTAGTTATTGGCGCCTGCCACCTTATTGACTGCAAATACTCTCGTAAGTTCGAATACTTTAAGATGCTTTGATCAATATTGATAACATAAAAAAAATATAATAAATAGTTTCCAGGCGGTCCTTTGAGTAAGAATCATTTTGCAAGCGTTGTTTTTATTGTGACTCGCGTATTTGCTTTCGGGAAACAGATTTTTTTCATATTCAGAGAACACCATAGATACATTAAAGTCGATAATAACTTTTTAACGCCTATTAGTATTACACACATTCCTTAAAGTGAGGTATTAGTGGGTGTTATGGGTGGTGTATATGCTCTAGTATTGCTAACAGTATATTGTGTAAATTGTTTTGGGGGGAAGCTTCAAGACGTGGGGATGTGACTGCTCCAGTGCACGTAAAAGACAAGCATTTAGAGTGTTATGCTGTAGGACATGCGAGCATTCATGGGACATGATTTTGAAGAAAAATAACAAAAAATAAAACATCTGGCTGATTTACTAGCCCATTGTAGAACTTACTCCATTACACAAGAAATAATAAGACATGTATGGGCATAAAACTTTAGCCTGGCCGGTAGACGTATACAAAATTATTAAATTTGAAGTTGACAGAGGTTGTTTGACAGTTGACTTTAAGTTGAACTTAAAGGCTAGACTAATTTTCACTTTTCATTTTCCAATAATCAACAAAGACTTTTTTAAATTTATATTACGATGTTTCTTAAAATTTGTTTAATTGTATATAATTACGTACAATAACACTTTAAAGACCCATTTAAACATGTTTACGCTTTAACACATTTAATTTATCAGTGTGACAAATTATTTTTATTACCAATATTCCATTCAATAGATTATTTACCGTGTTATTTAGGTATTTTGTCCTTTTCGAAAAAGATTATCGTGCGCAGTCGTGTTCAAGCTTCAAGGTACAAACAACGTTTAAAGTCAAGGGCGGAAGGACACAATGGGCAACAAATCATCTTTATTATTAAGGGAAGAAGAAATTGCACAAATACAGGAAGAAACAGGGTGTAAGAACTTTGATATCCAATAATTATTCAAATAAATATTTCTTAAACGTTTTAAAGTAACTATTCTGTTTTTGTTATAGTTACTCCTAACCAAATAGAGCGCCTCTATTCACGATTTACGGCTCTGGATAAAAATGATTGTGGTACGTTGTCTCGTGAGGACTTTCTTCGTATTCCCGAACTCGCAATTAATCCATTAAGTGAAAGAATTGTGTCTGCTTTCTTTGCTGAGAGTCATGATGATCGAGTGAACTTTCTACAGTTTATGCGAGTATTAGCTCACTTTAGACCTATAAGAAAAAACAGAGCGAATAAACTAAACAGTCGGGAAGAAAAATTAAGATGTGAGTATATAATTTGTTGAGTTTTCAATTTATATCTTTGTTATCTATTTAATCCAATATGCATTATCATTTGAATTTAAAGGTTAATGGTGTATTCGGGTATAATTTTTAAGTAAATTAAAATATCTTAATAATTTATTAATATACAAAATGTAAATTTTCAGTTGCATTTTCAATGTATGACCTAGATAATGATGGTAAGATATCACGAGATGAACTTCTGGCAATACTTCATATGATGGTTGGCGTAAATATAAGGTAACTAATTGTCACATGCAAAGTTTTTGTTATGAGGCTTTATGTTACTCAAGTAATAAAAATGTAGGAGTAACATTTTTTATTATTACTACTACTACTTACTTACTAGCAACTTACTAAACTAAGGGTCTGTTTCACAATGTACGGATAAGTTCTACATAAGTTCCAAATTAGCTATTTATTACTTATTAATAGGATAAACACTATTGTTGCGTTTCACGACTGTCAGATAGCGCTATTTGTCACATAAAGTCCATCATAAGCTATGAGTCCGATGAAGTGACAGATAGCACAATTTATCTTCCAAATAATTTATGTGTTGCATAGCTCTTTGTTACTTTATCCATACATTGTGAAATAGACCCTAAAGCTAGTTTTAGAAATTTATTTAATCATTTAAAATTTCAGTGAAGAGCAGCTATCAAGCATTGCTGAGCGAACAATATTAGAAGCAGATACCAACAATGATCAAATGATTTCATTTGAAGAATTTGCTCGGGCCCTGGAGAGAACTGATGTAGAACAGAAGATGTCGATTCGCTTCCTCAATTGACCACTAGGATCCTGAACTCTGCACAAATATGTTCTAACTGTAGTGCTTGTAACCATTATATTTAAGTTGTGTACTAGAAAATAGCTTCAATGCTTGTATAACTTTGAGACAAATAAATGTGGTGTCATCTATTTTCTTCTTTCAGGTTTTAGTTTTAGCTAGCTGTAACTTACGTCTCAAATAGGCTTCCTTATACCATCTTTAAATTGTCTCTTTCATCTAATATCATACATAATATTTAATTACAACTTAAATTTTGATTTTTTTTACTTTAATATGATTATTATAATATTACTGTATAGCTTTATTGCAAACGCATCATCCTATGTATTTTATATTATTATAAATATTGTAAAATCTGTAAAAAAAGTAATTGTTAATTTATTGGTTATAGACTCTATTTCATCACACATCAAGCAATTAAATGCATAATCAGTATGTATTAAACATATTTTTATATAATTGTTTTAACCAATGTCAATCAATTAAACTTGTTACCAAAAATTGCATAATATTGTATAATTATTAGTAATTTATTGATGTAGGTAGATTCAATATATTTTGTGACTAAATGTGTATTTTATTGAAATTTCTTCAACGTCGTTATTTTGTTACTGGCAAGAAGGAACAGTCAGAGACTTATTTTGTAGTTTTATACTTGAACAATTGAACATACTTGAGTGTCAATTTGGGTCTTTGTGCTATGTATGAGTTATGACTCCCATATTAAATTTTTAAGCCTAATCTTATCTATATATGTATATAGCCACTATTGTTGTCCTCATGTATGTATGTTTATATGAAAATAGGAATTTTATATGAAATCCTACTGTCAATTAGGTAAATGAAAATATTCCTCAAATCTTTGACATACTCCTCATTCTTCGAACTCATTAAAAATATGATACTACATAATAAAATTTAGAAAAAAAATATTGGCGCTACAACCTTTTACGACAAGCCTCAGATGTTTGTTTCATTATCAATTGTTTTTTCTTAATAGGTAAGGCGACTCTTTGGTTCGTATGCCGGTTTCATCACGATGTGTTCCTTCGTCGTACGAGCGAGTGTTAAATGCGCAGATAGACAGTACATCGGTGCACAGACGGGATTCGAACCTGCGACCTCAGGGATGAGAGCCACGCTGAAGCTACTAGGTCAACACTGCTCTTTAGAAAAATAAAACCGACTTCAAATACCCGTCAACTTATTAACCTAGGTACCTTTATTACATGTATCCTCCAGAAATGCGTGGATACCATATCTTCAACTAATGAACCAATTTTGAAAGTTTGGATTGTTTCCAACTTGGAATATACCCGTTTTAAGTCTCGTTTGTGGACAAAGTTACGAAATTTAGCACAGTTGCTTGGAAACCCGAATACATCAGCATACTTAACCAAATAACAAGGAAAAACCTCGAAGTTGTTAATATATTTATGGGGAATGTTTACCAATCGATAAATGGACTTACCTGTTCAAAAGTGATTGATTTGAGAAATTATATTTAATACAAAAAGGTTATAGCAAACAAGGCTCCATTACAACTATTTATTTTTTATAATTACAAGAATGTTACATTATTAAATTTTGGATAAATCGTTTACATAAATTAATTTTATAAAACATCACCAATGTCTCTTCCAACATTAAGAAGAGTTAATTCCAAATAAGAGAAATTAATTCCAATTGCATATATATAAACTTAAATTTATAAAACTAATTACTCAGTACACATCTCAAAGTATATATGTGACCACTATCTTAATATCAAAAACATTTTGTCCCTTGTTTGACCCTCCTACTGAAAGGCAATCAAATATATTTTTTCAATGAATCGGTGAATTATTATTGAACACCTTTCGTATTAAATGTATCAGAAGAAACTGGATTAAATCAGAAAATACATTGTCATTTAACAGGTTAATGTCTTGCAACTTTTACCAGCTGAAAAAAAAGCTGGGGTTATAAATATAAATCTTTTCCTGCTAAGCGGTTGAAGACACCGCTAACTTCTTCAAGTGCTCCATGAATACTTGCAACGACACGTCATCCGTTAGTACAGGAGCCCCGCCGTCCTGTAATACATTTAAAATTATCCATTTCATAATATTCGCATATATATTTAAACATTTAAATAGCACCACTGCTCCCAATAAAATCATTTAAAGGCCTATTCAAACCCCCCCGAAATCCCCCCCCCCCCGGGGGGGGGGAACCCCCCCCCCCGCCCCCCCCCCCCCCCCCCCCCCCCGACCCCCCCCCCCCCCCCCCCAAAAAAAAAAAAACCCCCCCCCCCCCCCCTCCCCCCCCCCCCCCCCCAAAAAACCCCCCCCCCCCCCCAAAAGAAAAACCCCCCCCCCCCCCCCCCCCCCCCCCCCCCCCCCCCCCAAAAAAACCCCCCCCCCCCCCAAAAAAAAAAAAACCCCCCCCCCCCCCCCCCCCCCCCCCCCCCCCCCCAAAAAAACCCCCCCCCCCCTCTATATTATTAACTCCCCCTACCCCCCCCCCCTTAGAACCTTAATGTAAATATAATAAATATATTATATATAAAGTAAAATAATTTTAATTTATATATTTACAACTAATAAGACAACAATAAAATCAATTTCACACGTGTAAGCAATTAAAAAACAAACACATATAACATACTAAGTAAAAATCATTAGTACATTAGAGTTTGCACTATATAAAGCTTTTAAAAATGGACAAATTTTTAATTATTTTACATTGTAATGAGATAATAAAGTAATGTAAATTAATTAAAAAATACGTGCACAAACATTAATAGTATTAGTAACCCAAGCCAATTAAATAAAATGGTCACACTACCGCTGATGGAATCGGCATCGCCTGCGTTTCGTCGAAACAATGATGAAAAAGAAAAAAACAATATCAATTGTCAATTCAAACCATGCTTCAATAAGCAATCGTGCTAAAGACGCAGCCACAAAATTAAATGCAATTGTTGCAATTTAAAGAATTCTAATTTTTATATTATTAAAAAACTATTTCTACATTATTAAAATTCAACTCACCCCTCCATATGCATACATGTTGTTGTGTGTCTGCGATGGATTCACTTTTGACAATAAGAATCGTGCCTGTAATAAAAAATACATAATTAACTATAAGGTAAAGAAAAACAGCACAGCATCAGCACGACATAAAAATCGTAATTCCGTTATTTGCTTAAAACATGCTGGTCCTGCTCCATAGGACAATCATAGAACCTGGACAAAATCAAATTGGCTGCTGATTTTTTGCTTCAACATATTTTTGTTATTTCTTTTTTTCTTTAATTTGATGCTCACAAATGTAATTATTTTTATTGTATCTCACACACTGTTTTGTTGTGTTTTTTTTAATATTTTTTTTTTCTTCAATGTTAATCATTCTAAAGTTTCGATATTTGCTAAAAATGTGAGGAACATGTATACTGCAACTTTTTTGTATAGTAGTAGAAAGTTATTCTAAGAGTACATTGTCTTCACATATAACTATTTAACTAAATGTATTCAAAATATTGCAACACCTCATTTTAAAAGAGTAGTTGTGGAGTGTCTTGCGAAGCATTCTTCTTTTGACAATAAGAAACTGCCTTTTGGAACAACGAAAATCTTATTGATTATTTTTTTAACGTTGAAAACGTCCTTTTACGATGGTCAAGAAAAAATGATTTGCTTTGCCTATAAAGAAAAATTAACACGAAAATAGACAAAGAGATTAGTTTGTGTTTTTTACTTATGAAAGAAAGAGACAGAGAACTAACGGTACTGTTTGGCTCTCTCAATAAAATTACGGTAGTTAACCACTCATAGTAATAGCAACACTGCAATTTATTTAATGTTGTAGAACAACCATAGCAACGAGAGCCATTTATCGTCTATAGCTTATGTTTATAAAACATTTGCGATGTCCTCAATTCTCAATGCATTGTGGCGGGTTCTTTTTTGTACAATCGCTGTTTCATGTACGTTATCTCGAATAAACGCACACGGTCAACGCATAGACCGCATAAAAGGTTTTATCTAGACACCGACGACTTAAAAAACAGTTTTCTTAAATAGCTTTGAATATGTGTTTATGTACTTGTTACAGATTTTATATGCGTTTTGTTCTTAAGTGGGTTGCAAAAGGAAGACTTGGACGTGAGCTTGCTTGTAAAACTACAGCGATACAATATTAATGACATTAATAATGAGTAAGTTTTAAATTATCAGTGTAGAATTTTGTTATTTTATTAATTGATGTCTTCGAATTTTAGAGAATTACGAAAAACTTGCGTCCCTGAGAACTTTAGCACACCACCAAGCATGGCTAATGATGAAAAAGACACACCACTTGAGGGTAAGAACTTCGACATAATATTTTAATATTTCCGTAACCCTCATGAAAGTTTGTTATTTACAGTGAGTGGTTTTATAAAGGACAATGCAACATATTCGGAGGTCGAAAAAAATATAGACGCCATTAAAACTGATAATAGACGTATCATAGAATATACCAAGGGTCAACCTAATTTAGAGAGCGTCATGAATTTCTGGACAAATCTGGGAAAGCGTTCAGATGCAAAAGGTTCTTCAATTGAAGTACATAAGACACGACGCGCACAGGAGCTCAAAAGTGATTTGAGTAAAAACTTTTCAAACGATTTAAATGTAACAGAATTTATAAATAACGTAATAGGCAAAAATCAACATCATGCCATAGAAATATATAAACCAATAAATTCAGACAAATATAATTTGAATGAGGAAAGAATTGTTGTCGATCATAAAACCGAACCTATTTATTTTAATGTTCAGCCACCGCATTTTGAACGTAACATAGCTTTTAAAGCCTACGAAAATGTAAAATACGAAAATAACAATGTTAACATACCAACTGAACAGAAAATAGATGATATTTTAAAAACAATAAATCAATTCAAATCAATGTTTTCCAATATTAGTCCACACAAAAATGAAGACATGTATAAAAGTCATGACACAAACAAAACTTTTACAAAATTATCAAAAACAGAGGAAATAAATGCACCCCTGAGCCAAAGTAAAACAGAACCATCACAACTAAATTTTACTGATGAGTTGGTTAAGAAAATTGCTCAAAGTGTTAAAGATATGGTTTTACAAGACTTGCGAAAAGAAATGCAAATAACAACCACAACAACTACACATAAAGGTAATGTATTTTTTAAATTTGATTTCACGTTTAAATAACTTAATTTAATATAACTATTACTGACTATTCTAATTTGATTGTATTTTATGCTTCAGTGGAAACAATTTCAATTGTACAAAAGGATAATTTCAATAATAATGAAAATATTATGACCAAAGTTATGTCAATGCTTCAATCTTTGAAACAAACGCAAACGCTTAACATTCAAGAAATAAAAACTAACCAACCGGCGCATAATAATCAAGTAAACAATATAAAGAAGAACGATCAACCTTTGAAACAAACAGATAAAAGCCATCCCACCTATAACCTAACTCCACTGATTCATAAATTTAACAATGAACCTCAAAATTCGAAGCAAAACCTATTAAGACCTATTACATTCCAAACAAATTCTTTGGAAATACCTCCTCTTGGAATACCAATAATGCATGGTCTAAATCCTATCAACCAAAACATAATTGTCACAACATTTGCACCGTTCAGAAGTCACTATGAAAGCGACAATGGACCGAGTTACAGCGATAGTGCATTGATGAAAGTCTATCCTAAGGAAGTCCTACAAAGTCCGCTAAGCGCTAAATTCTCTAAAAGATCTGATGATTGTCCCTTGAACCATCCCTGTGACCACAAAAATGAAGATGTCATTAGATTCAGACTTAGCAACGACGGCAAAACTAAGTACGACACCGATTATTACGAGAAAATCAATTTGGGAAGAATTAAATCGAATGAGGGATATTCACCGCGCGCTCCAAGATTCCACGAGAAACTTGAACGCATTGATCGCTTTGATTTAGGAGAGATGAATGAAGACTGCTGTAGGTATCCCATAACACAGCAAATGGTGGAGTGTTGTAATGAAAAGATCAGATCAAGACAGCAGACATCATTAATCAAAAAGAGAGGTTCATACGACGATACACATTTTAGGAACTTTTTGAAAACACAACAAAAGGTCACAGATATGCTCGAACAAATACTTGCCTCCAAAACCAGAGACATGCCAGTCAGCGTGGAAACGACGTAATTGAAGAAGTGACAGTGGAAAGTAAATGGAAAATACCATCAAAATGAAATAAATATGTTTACTATAAGCTAATTGTAATTTAAATCGAAATAAAGTGAAATATTCAATAGTATTAATATTTTTTAATGCTTCAAAAATGTTGAAACACGATAATGGAACTAGGAGTTAGCAAGTAGCGGTTACAGTATGAATATGAGGTGGTGCGTTCGAACCTTGGCTGTGTACAAATATTTTTTTTTCTATGTACCGATTCCCTTAAATGACATTTTAACTTAAATAATTACTATTTATGTAAGGGAAAGAAAGCAGATCTCCAACGTGCCTATACAAAATCAATTAAATAGAGGATGGATGGAAGCAGCTACAAAACTCCTTTGGCTGGTCGCGATTTGATGATAAAAAAAGGGTGCGTGTACTTATGTACGCGCGTAAGAATTTATACTCCTTTGGCATTATTAAAAATAGTTTTTGATTGCATGCAAATAATTAATTACAATAAAATAATCAAAGACTGGAAAAGGAGTCATTATAGTCAATAAAGTTCAGTTTACATTTGAAAAATTAAATAGGTAAATAAATATTTATTATTCTTCTCTTAACTGTAACATAAATTATATTATTATTCGAATGTTGTTTTTAAATTATGTCCAATGCCGTAGCATCTTCCATGAGCAACTTCATTCTGTTAATTTTGTGTCACGGTGCGCGCGCATCGTAAAATTTCACTCTCATAAATTTTTCATAACGCGCCTAAAGAAGTATAACTTCAAAAATACTCCATCTTTTTTTAACCTTACAATCCTCATAGCTAGGCTGGCATAAATACCTGTGAACCGCCATGTTCAGTGTCAATATATCTTGGTACTGGGAAACGGCTCTGAAGGATCTCTTGCGCATCGTCGACCGGCGCTCGAAGTAATTGAGCGAAGCTTTCATACTCCGGCATGTCTTGGTAACGTAGAGCTCGCCATTGGGCTATCGTCTGTAAATGGATACTTTTAGATTGCAAGAAATAATATCTCAATTTTATTCATAAGTGATATTACAAATTTGGTTAATTATTTTGAAAAGTTAAAGATAAAAAAAAAATTATGTTTTATGTAGGACAATCGGTGTTGGTATTATTGTGTCGTTCTATCGCATTAGTAGTAACTGATGTGGAATAAATAAATAAATAATAAATAAAGACTTGGATATTTATGATTTACAAAAATATCGTGATGTTTTTGTACAAAGATCTTTGAGTGAAATTTCTGTGTATTTTTTCACCTCTACGAGTAGATTATGTCAATATATTTGACATAAAAAAGTCATAGTTTGGCCTAAGTCTTGAATTAATCCTAATAAACAAACTATTGACATATAAGTTTAAAGTATTAACTTACAACATATTGTAACTCAAACACAATACATAAGTTGGAAGTATAAAATATAATAATTAAATAATAAATCTAAACAAAAACTTCACCTCTCCATGGTAAATCAATATCTGGAAGAACGTGTCCATAAGAAGTATACGGTCTGGTTGAATTGACGACGTATCTAGTAACACTGGCTCTGGTGGACCACCGAAGCTGTATGAGTATAGAATCGGCTGGATCATAATCAACGATTGAGTGAGGTCCTCTCGCATTAACATGTGCCTGTAAATATATCATTGTCTATGGTTCACGCGAGTACAAAGTTGACAAAACGTGCTGTGAAGCACTCGTTGGAGAATTTTAATGACTATAAACAAATAATTATTTATGCAAAGTCTGAATACATGGTTTTTAAGTCGGATGACGAAACAAAAAACAGGCAAGTATTTCGCGGCACGGACATTTAATAGTTACTTTAGAGTTTAGAATAAAAATATTATATAAGTTAGACTTTATAATGTCCCATTTCATTTCACATTCCATACAAAATTGGTAATAGTAGATTAGTCAATCGTGTCCAGTATTATTTTAATTCACCAATAAACACTTCAACAATAATTCTAATTTAAAACAAAGAAAATATTCTTCTATATAATTTTTTTTTAAGAATGATCCGTCTCTTTTGATAGTTCCGTGTTATAATCTGTGTGCTATGAGATTAATACAAAATTACCTGTAAAAAGTTGTTTCATCTGGCGAATTGTTGAACATCTGCAAGAACTGTGATCTTCGCAGATGATACATGAACTGCGGGTACAGACTGAAGTTCTCCGATAGCCGGAAGCTGTTTGGATCGTCCTTGGCGTATTCACCGAACTTCTGGCACTGAGGATTTCATATTTTATACGTAAAAATCTAGATAGATCTAGCGATGTATGATTGCATTGAATAGAATATATTATGTAAGGGGGCGTTCAAGTATTATGTAACGAATTTGGGGGGGGTCCTTTTGTAAAACGTAACGATGCGGGGCGGGGATTGAATTACGCGTTATTCTTAATATTATTTTCGACTTTCCAGTACTTTACACCACATAATGTTAACTTTTAGGTACAAAGAGTCACTAGGTGGTCACGAAAAGTTTTACTATACTTGGGTACAGAAAAACGTTACGGCGCGTTATATGGGGGGAGGTCAATAATCTCCAAAATTTGCGTGACGTAATACTTGAACGCTCCCTAAACCAGATAAAAAAATAAAAAGTTCATATATCCCCTGCAGTAGTGTGTGTCGGCCAAAATGGGACGTTAATATATAGGTTAGATACATTATATTTTTAAATAAAATATGCCATTTAGCCAATGAAGCAGTAACTATATGAAAAGTGCATCTGTTTGTAGCACTAAAGTAAAAACATACATTTGAAAAATCAATATGTTGGTGTGAAATGCTATATCTTATTTACTAATAATAATAGAAAAATTATATGGTAAAGGATATTTTATAGCCCATACAAGTAACTCACCAATCGTATGAGCATTCGATCAAGCCAACGAAGCACATCAGGACCATCTTCATGATCAGCTCGATACACAACAAGTCGGGCCATTACCACCGCAGCTGCTTCCTGGTCAAAACCAGCTGCTATGTGGGGAAGGTTGACAGCTGGGTCTGCCCAACTAGATATAAAGAATGAGATTAATTTGTGGTAATCATAAATTAATTACTGAAGAATTACATACTATATTTACTAGTACACTTGGACCTCTCCTGATTGGAGCCTATTTTTTGTGCCATTAATTAGTTAATAATTTAATAGTCTTGAATTATTATAATATTCATGTGCGTTTATAAATAATATAATTAAAAAAATGAATATTTCTGTTACTTACAGATACAATGTGGGGGAGGGATACAAATAGCCAATAGTTTTTATATTTATTATTATTAACTAAACACTAACAAAAAATTAGATATTTAAAAAATTGCATGCAAATTAGTTTTACATATGTGACGGTTTGGATTAATATTGTACATACTTGCGTGCAATAGTGGTAACTCGTATGCGTCTTTGTCCGCTGGAGTGCTGGTAGTTGGTGATGAGCTGGACACAACCACGTCCACCTGCTGGAACTGCTGCTGCCTGCTGGCTTACTACCTATAATATTATAAAAGTATTAAGTACTGTCTTATGATACATTTTCATTCAAACACTGTAATCATATAATTTGAGAGTGAAATTACATTAAAATAGTGTATGATCTGCAACAGCACCTCTTAAATGAGACATCAAGTTTAAAATATTAAGTATTTTCTAAGCATCAAAAATGGGAAAAGCAATCATTTTTTATAATTCTTGCATTAGTAAAATAAAAGGTGTAGGATCAAGCAACCTTGACGGTTTGTATCGCTTGTTGACTATTAAAAAAAAAAGTTTATAATAAAAATGGTTAAAAAAGTTAGTACCTCAAAGAATATAGCCATGGTAGTGCTTGGTGTGAAAGTACACATCTTCCACTGACAAGTGTTACCCATTCCCACCTCTTGATCCGACACACATGGCCCCTTTACATTCAACGACACACAGGAGCCAATTGCACCACTTACTGAAATATATATTAATATTTTTAAAGATCTCTTTGTAATTTGTTATGGATATTTGATATATGATATATATAGAATGCAGACAAAGAGAAAGGTTATTTTAATATCCCATTATTCCAAACTAATATATATAAAAGGGGATGTAAATTTTTTTGTTATACATATAACAAAACAACTAAATTAATATTTGCTTACTTTTTAATTCCCTACTACATTTCACCTCCAAGGTACCATTAAATGCCATTTTGTAATCGCCTTTCTGATCCTTAGAAAATACTCTCTGGAAGGTCTGCTTGAACAAGGAGGAGTTAAATGAATCTCCCATCACCATGTGGCCACTACAAGAAAATACAATACATATAACTATAACTTAGTATACAAGGAATAATGTAAATATTAACACGATCATCAAATTGAATTATTACAAAATTGTCATAGCTAATTATGGTTTATACTAGATTTATTTTTTATTATACCTTTATACCTGTTTTGAAGTTACAATTATATGATAAAGTAAAGTGACAATCTTAAATGAGCTTTTAAACAATATCACAGTGATCTTGTTTAACTTATTAGTTATAAAAGAATAAAGTTAGTACCCAGTAGAGTTGCAGCATTGTTTCATTTCCATTAAACCAGTCTGATCCAAAGCACAAGAATAAATATCAATAGCATGACCATTGGTTGCAGATCTGAATGCCAGAGCCTCATAATGTTTAATGGCTTTCTTCATATACTTGGCATTATCCTTATGGATGTCGTGGTGGGAACGAATGGGCTGCTTAAGCTCATCATTAACAACTTGGCCCGGGCCTTGGGAGCAAGGTCCTCCAAGGAACATCATGATTCTAGCTCCAGTGTTAGGGTAGGTCACTTCTAATAAACCTACAGCTAATGAAAGAGCTACTCCGCTACTTCTCAAGGGACGTTTTCCAACACCCAATGGCCAGGGATCACGACCAAGTTCACTAAGCAGGTCTGTTAAAGCCATATCACACTGCTTAACTGGTTGCAAGAAACGGTGAACGGGAGGATGTGGTTGTGGTGCTCCTTGCCTTTGTTGAGGGTTTGGTACATTCACTCTACCAATAGACAGTTGTTCTTGAATCTGCTTCGCTGACAAATCTTTTGTACCCTTGAATACATAACACTTGTAGATGCCCTCAGTACCTGAAATGAATCATCTTTACTGTTTAAAACTTATGGTCTACTGATTATATAGCAAAATAAGATTTCAACGGATATTATATCTAATATAAAAGATAAACAATAGTTTTAAATAGCAAATTGTTTGACAATTAGTAAGATTTGCTTACCCAACTCGTGAATTTGCACCATACGGCCAAATGTTATTAAACCAACTAAAGCATTTTGTGGCATTAAACTGAGTGATGTTTGAAGAGAATCTTTAAGAGCTCCGAGTTCTTCCTCATCCAAACAAGTATCAACCACAAGAAGGAAAATTGGAGGCATGCTTTGAGCTCTTGTTATGGTATACTCTATAGTTGAGAAGTTTGGTATTAGCTCAGCTGGCTGATGTTGTTCAGATATAGCAGCATATTGTGGTGGAAACTGAAATATTACAATGGTTACAGTCATTTTAATGATTAAAAAAATATATTTTAATATTTACATAAAAGATTTACCAAAAAATTATGCGAGTGATGTTTATAAAATGCGAATGTTAGTTACTAACTAGTATAGAACAGTAGCACTATACAGAAGATATTATACTCACAGGATTTCTTTGGAAACAAAAGTTGCAAACCCATAATTTTGCTCTATAATCTACTTGGCACATGGGATTCAAGACGGCCCGGCATGTATTACGAGTGCACAAAACTGGCTCATACTGAATAGGAGGAAGATCTGGCCGCTCTTTTAACGGCTGATATAAGCTGACTAAGGGCACCACCAGTCTGGTTGCCTCAATCCTGCTTGAAGGCCATACATTCCATGTGAATCGTATTCCGTCCCGATCTTCATTCTGCTGAATGAACTCTTCATACGTGGCCATAGTTTGTATTCTTTATAAAGAAGAAAAACACATTTAGATTATGAAAAATGACTAGTTAAATATGGCTCATTTTGAACTTTAAAACTAAATGATACAAACCAGTTTCTCATATGTGTAACTTAAAGAAGTTGAGTAACGAAACAATCTACACCACACTAACACTTCATTTAAAACACTAATATTTATTAATCTTTAATTAAAACACATTAAAATCTAGTTAGCAAGCGAGCTGATTTGGCGATTGTCAAATCAAAGACAACAAAACTAGAGAAACTGTCAAATCGCCACGTCATTTTAGGAAACGTATTATAACCGATTACTTAATCAATATTATAAAATTATAATTATAAATGTATAATATCGATACATAATAATAACAATAATTTAAAATGTTTAGCAAATCCTATTTAAATTCACAAAACATAAAGTCAAGTTGTACCTTGTGTACTTGTGTGTAGGAGCGACTTGTACTTTTATTAAGCCATTTATTATTTTAAAAGAACTTCATTTCATCTTTCAATTAAATGCTACTAACTTTCCTACAATATTACTTAAGTCATTAGTTTGTTAGCAGTTTTAATAATTAAATAGAAGCTGTAGTGCATACCTGTAGAATCTGTGGCGAAAACAGCATAGACAAAATTGTGAATAGAGTCTGTCGATTTGTCTATATTTATGTCAAGATTTTACGTTCCTATATACGTTTTAAGATTATATTTTTAATTATACAATACGTATTTTATGTAAAATTTTATTCTATTTATTTGAATATAGTTAAAAATATTTCAAATTAATTAAGACCCATTTTTAAATCGATTTTTTTAAACAAGAAATTAAAAAATTGGGAACGTTTATGGGTCATTAGCGTACAAACCTAGTAATGAAACGTACTTGAATGAAATTTTTTTTTATTTTTAGGACATAGTAAAATATATTTCGCTTGTGATACATACATGGATATTGAAATAATTGTGATAAAGAGAGAATATACAAAAGTGTTTGATGAAAAATATGTAATTGTAAATTAATTGATATGTCATTGCTTTGTTTTAAGAGCAGGAAGTTTACATCAAAAAGTGCGACTGCGCACTGGCCAAATTAGTAGGTAGTGTGAAAGAAAATGGCGATCAGCGAAAGGCGTCCGGAGTTAACGTGATGAAAAACATTGTTAAAAGCTCAATTACATAGTGTTATAGTTATTAATTGTGTCAGATGTAGATTAATTAAGTGTTAATGAATAGTGATTGTGTATAAAAATGGCTGCGAATATGTACAGAGTCGGCGGTAAGTAACAATAATTGGTTATTTTTGTTGTAGCTTCGCCGGTTCACCGCCAGCCGACTAGCGGTGCTTTGCTTTGATTGTCGTACCTTAATTAATTGCTCATATTAATTAGTTCAGAAACTTAGAATCTTATGGTCTTACCATTATTTTTAACCAATTTATTGTGATTTGACAGTTCTTTTTGCGGCAAAACTATGTTTATAAAAATATTTATTTTACCAAATTTCTTCAAATGGGACATTAGCATTTGCATCTAGGTATCATTGTATCGGCTTGCGCATCTGAGTGCGGAGAGCATGGTACTTTGAAGACTGGCTTGAGTGTTGATGCGTTCTTTTTTAAAGAAAATGTTTGATTTGGATAGGTCTGACACGAGATTTTAGGTTATAGCCAATGTTGTCAAAACAATTTCGTAGCAAGTTATAGTTTTGGGTTATATTTTAGCGGGTCAATGATAATGGTACACTATTTAGGCATTGTATAAATAAATATTTTTTATATTTATCTATGATATATTATCAGAGTCCTCGACCTTATTGGAAACCTCAAGTAATTTTAGCTGCCGAAATGCGTCAAAGTTTTTTAAAAAAATTTAAAGTTTTGTGAAATGTATTGAAATTTGTAAAAATCACATTATTACTTTTTATTGGTTATAAGAGATGTGTCATTCTCGTTTTCTGTTGGTTATAAGTAGGTGACATTCTCGGTAAATTAATCGGATGATTATTTTCTCATTTGTTAATTTTATAGTTGAACCTAATTTAATATTACTTGTAAATGTAATACATTAATTAACTTATGTTTCAATTAATGTATGGTTCCGAAAAATTTTAAATTATTCAAAAAGTACCCAAAACCAATCAGAGCACCCCACTATCCACTGGTTTGTCTGCCTTACCCCTAAGTGTTTATAAATAATCGGAGGCCAGGAAGACATCCCCCACCCCTGTAACAAAGCACAGGCATTATGAAAGCTGTAGCGGCTGAGGCTGGTCGCCGAAGGCGACCAGAAAGCCGAGGTTGCGGAGGCTTGAATAAACTGCCTGTGCTTTGGTACGCAAGAGTGGAGGGGCTGCATTTCCCGTAGCGCCGGAGCTGTCCAAAAACAAATATTATTTAGTTCGGTTAGGTTAGGTTAGTATATGAATATTTGGTCGCCGAAGGCACCAAAACCGAGTTCCGAGGGCTGAATAAACAATTATTATTTAGATCGGAGCTGTCCAAAAAACTAATATTATTTAGATCGGTTAGGTTAGGTTAGTATATGAATATTTGGTCGCCGAAGGCACCAAGAACCGAGTTCCGAGGGCTGAATAAACAATTATTATTTAGATCGGAGCTGTCCAAAAAACTAATATTATTTAGATCGGTTAGGTTAGGTTAGTATATGAATATTTGGTCGCCGAAGGCGACCAAGAACCAGTTGCCGAGGGCTGATCGGTAAGGCTAGGTTAGTATATGAATATTTGGTCGCCGAAGGCACCAAAACCGAGTTGAGTAGATAAATAGGTGAGATTTTTAAAAAAATTTTTGTTTCCGGCGCGCAAAATTTGAAGGGGTGATTACTACACCCTTCCCCCTTCCTCACCACCCCAGCAACCCCAAATTTGGGCGCATCGTTATCGAATCGTTACCAAATATTTTTATTTACGTCTTTCCAAAAATTATTGTTAATAATGTCGTAGTAAACAGTGTAGGCATCGTAGTGGTAAGCTTTGACGTTGTCTCGCGAAGTGGACCGGTGGCTTATGTACCGCGCTTCGCCATCGCCGCGCCGAATGTTAATTAGCTCTTCCCTTTAGACAACTTCCTATCACTAAAATGTATCGCGCCTTTGAATAACAAGTCACACAACTTGTATTAATACATTATTAGAAATTGTATTAAAAGCAAACCAAGTTCTATGATGGCTATTTACACTTATTCTTTAGAACTGTTTTGTCATTATCTTGGTACCCCCATTCTAAATTTGAGCATAAACTTCCTTTAAATTTAATTAAAATCTAAACAATGATATACTTCATAAATAATAAATTTCCTATTAATTATTGCAGTAATTATTATTTACGAATGTTTATTATATGTATTGTGACCTCAGTTTACTGCATACATTTTACACTTGTATCACTAAGAATGAATGACCTACATTTATGTTACCTTGAGATTTTTATATAAAGATATTGCACAGCAGCAACACAAACATTGCCATCCTCAATGTATTTTAAAAACAGTTCATTTGTGAGAAATGAAATAGTCGTAACATATTATATACACACTAAACATAATTCTTAATTAGACCCATGACATATATTGTCTCTTATAAAATGGATTAGCAATAACATTATATTTCTGAAAAACCTAGTTATTAAAAGATATAATCCATTGCATCCCAGGTCACTGACCTTACTGTAACCTGTTATAAGTAATCAGTAAACCTTGCATCTAAATTATGTTCCTTTCTAGTAATTTGGTTTTTTAGTAATTTAGAACTCTTAAAAAATAATTTTTAATTTGTAACTACTATAATAGATATAAGCTGATTTGAAAGAAGATTCTTTTTGTAGCTAATTTATTTTATAAAGGAATTATACTTCCACCTTGGTCAATTCTATTAAGTAAAACATTGAACTATAGTAAGTGAAAGTAAATAAATATTTTATTAAATTACAGCATCATTTCATCGATTTTTATTAAGTTTGCATTAAGTACATTATATTAGAAAATGTGTAAAATTAAAATGATAAATAATAAAACATAATGTAAATGATAAATATATTATATAATTCTTTTTTTAAATTTAAACACAAATAAATGTTTTTATGTCTTTAAAAAGTCTACATTGATAGATTCTATAATTCAAGCTTTTCCCTATTCAGATTCCTAGGTTTCTTATCAAGAGATATTTTTTATGACATCCATTAGTAAAAGTCAATTCATAATATGCAAGCCATCAAATGTAATGTAATAGGTATCTGTTGCCAAAGCTTATATAACTTTTGATTTTAATTTTAAGTGCTAGTTGCATGGTACAAACAAATAAAATTTTATTACAATTACATCAATCAAATCAGATGAGATAAATGATCAGTTGCTGCATCCCGATCTTGCTCAATTATTATCTGTTTATTCAGTTGATAGATGCGCCTTACAGCTTCCAAATAGCCAGTTAAAATTGTATTTGCAACTGTGGTTAAATTGTGCTATATTAAGTATCATAAATTTGAGTATTTAAGGGGGAGGGGTCAGTCAAATCTCATTTAATTTAGTTGGAGAGAGGGGGTTCAAATATAAATTTTTTTTGATTTAAAAAAACTTAGGAAAAGGTTGACTCTAAAGAATATCTGAACTTCTAACTCCATATCATTTCACTTATTTTGTTTTAGTGTAAATAAAAGACAAGATTTTTTTTTTTTCAATAACAATCCAATGGTTTACGTAAGAAACCCACATTTTGAAAAATCTCACTAGATTGGGGGATGGGGAGGGGTTGAATAAAATCTCATGACATCTCACCAAGGAGGTCCAGAAAATTTAAAAACACCTCACGTAATTTATGGAGCCCCTAAACAGTTATGTGTGTTGCTATGGTACCATTTCATTTTAACTGTATTTTTTTATCAGAATATCAATAAAGTAGGTCTGTAACTGCTAATATCTGTTAAATTTATAAAGGGAAATATAGTTCCCCTCCATCTTTTAGTCAATACCAACTCCGGGGAAATAAATACAGATAATGCAACTTTCTCTACAGCTGTGATACTTTTTGACATCCAAAACCTTTTGTCTTCAGTCACCGTGACCACGCACGCTGTAAAGCACGCAAACGTCGGATAAATTTAAAATTATGTTAAATAATTGTAAATTTATAATAATACATAACTTTAATCCGGTAAAAAGTTTTTTCTTTATCTGGAAATAAAGTTGTTTTTATCCACATTTAGATGGGTCATCATCGTCATGAACAAATCTATGTATTGTTGAAATAGATACTAAATAACTTAGTCAAACATTTTTTGGTTATGTTCTCAAAGTAAATGAAGACAAATTATTGAAATCAGTCCGCCCAAAAACACACGTACATTTATCGATTTTCAAAAACCTTAATTATTCGTTTCGCAAGCTCCGCGCTTGGGTAGCGATGTGACGTCAAGAAGCAAAAACTTTGTCGCCATCCCCTGTTTATAATAAAAAAATCATCTGGTATGATGATCATATTATGAAAATATATTTGATTTATTTTAAATTATAATACGCTTATTCAATTCAAAGATCCGAAATCACCTTAATCATTTTACGACTTCTACGTAGAGTTCCAATCGAAGTATCAATGAATTGTTTTGAATTATTTATGACGTGGAAAAAATGATCCATTTAAAGCTGAATTCGCAATCACCTTACCAAAGAGCAGTGGTGAAAGTTGCATACCTAAGTACTGTGAACAATAAACTGGTCCTGTCAAGCTGAACTCGACCCGCGCCAACTCAAGAGCGCACTACAAATTATTATTTTGCTAACAATTTTCTGAGAATACTAAAAGTTGCGCTTGCGTCATTCTTAAAACATTAGATTTTAAGAAGTCAACAAAAGTTATGTTTAGATTAAAAAAGCCAGTGGTTGGGTTAGGTACAATAATAAAATTTCGATGCAAAAAGAGGCGTAGGTACATGGAATGGAACCCTCCTGTGGGCCATGGAATAGACACATTACTGCCTCTGCCATCACCGAATGATCATTTGTCTTAATATCTCGTATTAGTGGCACCATATTACAACACCATTTATGTCCTGTTATTAGAAGTATTATTCCTATAGTTATTGTACAAACACTTAACTCTAATACCAAACATAACACAAGAGTGCCAGGTTTACTGGTCTTTAGACTTAATAATTTCAACAAAACGTTGAGTTGCCTCTCGAATACTTTTGTGATATGATCCCACTCAAGATTTGTAAAGTCATCGTCGCATTTTAAATAGCTATACGCCTATTCAGGTAAGTTTATTACACTATTCCCATTCATAAAAATTTTATCATAGCGTCGCAATAAATGAAAAGCGGTCATATTTTTTTTATTTACTGCAGTTTCATCATTGAATAGGTTTAAATTAATTTTCAAGTACTTTACAAGATTTTTCGTTACGTTTTTCGTGAAATCGACTGTTAATACTAATTAGAAATATGTCTTAACATACAACGAAGACAATTAATTCATTTCAAATCAGTGGTCAGTGATGAAACAAAAATGTATCTTAGAGTGTAAACATAGTCAAACTTTTCAATGCTATCGTGGATATTGCTCTGATCCCAATGACGTGTCCGGCTAAATATATCCGTATACTATAAAACACTTACTTATTGACACGTTCCCAAAATACACTAAAGTCTTGGCAAAACTGGACGGACGTTAACACTGCTATCAGACGCATTATGCTCAACTTACATAGCTAGGTAAAATATATTATGTGCGTACAATACGCGATGCGTGATGTTTAGCTTCCATGTTATAATTGTTTTATCCTAGTACTAATGTAGGGAGTTGGTAGCTATCATAGCAATTAAATTACGAGTAATTTATGTACAATGAATGACGTTGTAGGTTCTTTTAGCAACAGTAGTTGCATTGCTATATAATATCAACCAAGATTTACTCACAGATATGTTCAAGTACCCAATGAGGCAAACATTGAGCCTGCTTTGTTTATCATTTTTCTCTTTATAGACAAGCCTTTTGTGCCACACACCATCAATGTTTGGGTCTAAGACATGCAAGTTATCGAACAATGTTTTAATTCACAGTATCAGCAAGCTAATTCGGCACGTGAAAAGATAGATCCATCGGTGCAATCCAGGGTTCAAATAAGGCTATCCATACTTAGCACTGGAAATATTGTTAATGAATATTGCCATAGTTTGACAAGGATATATGTAATAGTATTTCATTTTAACAACAGATTAGAGATAACATTATCGGTCACATTATTGTAAAAATAGTCTATCCAAATATCTCTTAGCACCATAATAAATCATGATATAACATCATGAAAACCCTGTTAAAGTTGTCATTATATTTATATATCATATCATTCTTATTTACGGAAACTACCGTGAATAACCCAGGCATTATGGATCCTACTATATAATATATGAAACTGTTTCGTCAGTGGTTTGTTCTTGAAAAACTGATATAGAAAATACCTATATTGAAGTGATTTGAAAGGAAACAAAACGTAGTATTAATAATTATTAGTCATAGTGCACAGACATCTCTTGCAGATGTCATCTTGGGCTCAACTGTATTTGTAAAGAATTTAATATTAAGTGTATCGATGATAAATGTAGTTCATCGTTGGTTGTGAGACCAACCCGGTTTTGTGACCATGTTCAAAGTCCGTTAAGTAATTTAAATAATGTAATCACTTAGAAGCATCTGAAATTCAGATATATTAAGAAACCCTGAGGATCTTTAGAAAAAGTCTTTGCTGTGACCATTACATTAATTCAGACGACCAATTTTGGACGATTAATCTCAAATACAGCTTTAACCTCTTTCATGATAATAATAATTGATGACGTAAAGTTTCGTGGTTGTGATAAGAAGACAAAGCTGTTATCGCATGTTACACAGGAAACTAGAGCTATTAATTAGTTAAATATATTTCGCAGACGTAAATAAATTGAATATTTTAGGTATTATATAACAAAGAATAATCTAAGAAAAGAATGAAACATTAATACTGTCCATTATAGACACAAAAATAAGTTCGAAATGTTGATAGAGACCTTATTCAGTCCCCTTGCACTAGACACTCGGGCTGACCTTGTGACCAAAACTCTGATGTCCTGTAAGTACAGTAGAGGGCAAGAAACATACATACAAACAAAATTATAATACTGAAACATATCTGCATGATAAAAATTAAATTGACATATTATTCTTGATGAATTTAAGAAAAAAAACCGAAAACCTGAAACCATCGTTTTCAAATATTTTGCTACGATAAAGGCGTTACTCATATCCTGTTTAATGATATACGTATATGTTAAAACTTTATAGAGTTTTATCTTGGAATCAGAAATCTGGTGCTTAATAGATTATTCCTATACCGGAGTTTTTGTATATCATTTCAACCTTGGGATTGCGCCGTACAAAACCTCAACATAGAATTCGGGATCGCAATCGCTATTGGGAGTTACAGAGCAGAGCAGGGGTATATGATCGTCAAGCCAAGACTTATACAACATCAATTTATTGTGTATTGAAAAATGTACGTTAACACGTAGTAACAAAGACGCAAATAGTAAGGCTAATACAAACTAATAATCAAATAATTTTGCACCTAGTGGTTATGGTATAGGCCTCTGATATAAATTTATAGACGTTTTGCAATATGGACATCGATTTCTGCTCAGTAATACTTAATTCTAAAAACAAACACATATGAGAATCTTTTTCTTTATTACATTATAGTAATTGTCATACAATTATTTAATATTATCAATGTTAATATTTAGACTTTTACGTAGTAGAATGTCAATGCTCAGGTTTCATAGGCTCTGTTCAAAATGTGCCCCGCGTGTGTTCTATTGTTAATTGTAACGGTAAATAGCGCTGGAACGTGTCCACGTAACTCTCGTAAATTCTAAACTAAACAATTTAGACAGTATATTAAAAATCAAAGAACCAGTTTCATATGGTACAACTTTTAAGTATAGCCTCTAAATTTGGTCCTTAGTTTCACTCGTCGATTAAACCGAAGTCAAGGGGCCCTATACAACATGGACCGTCGTTTTTGCCATGGTTACGATGTTTCATATGAATAATGGTAACTATGATGTCATGTCAACAATATGGCCGATAAAAAACCGATTTTTTTGAACAGTATTTAAAGTTAAATAAACGTACTTAAAAAAATCCATGAGTCCGAAGTGTCGCTTGTGTAAAAATCCCTAAAATGTTAGCCGCAAAAGAAGCAACCAAATTTCACTTATGGTACCATTTAGACAAACTTTAATTACTTTAGAAAGTAGGTGGCATTTTTTCTTTATCAGTGAGTCTTGTGACAGTTGCGGTAATTTTTCAGTATTCTTTAATTGCCTTTTTAAAATATATTTGTGAAAATTCTGTACAAAGTTTGGTATAAATAGTAGGTTAATATATTGTGGTGGTGGTCTATTGGACTTATTAATAAATCGCCAGATATCGCAAACGGTACAAGTTCATCCAGCGTCGGTGATTCTTCGACTTTGCTTGTTGGGCTTTTTTACGGGGACGTTCAAGTATAACGTAAGCACTATAGGGGCAAGGACATTGTCGAGGGAATCTTTAATTTTCATATTTAGGTCTATTATTCCTCAACAGCTAATTATTTACTTTTTTCTGGACTACATGAAGGGGTGGGGGTATAAATTGCGTAAAACTCTGTATTATCCAAACACTTGACGCCTCTATGCCCTATATAATATGTAAAGTACGAAATGCATTGTCGAGGATTCCTATAAAAAAATAATACGTTTATGTACTATTATTTCTTAAATCAGTCGTTAACAGTGTTCTGCAGCGTAAACTGAGATGTCAATATTAATTAACATTAGAGATTTAATAGACGACTCTGGGTCTGTCCGATAGACTATGCCATCTCTATCTTGAAAGAATGGAAGAAAAACTCGATGATTTAAACATTATGGCGTGGTACTCTAAATAGTTGTTTCTGTAATAATATTTGTTTATATGTACAAATTTTTTGATCTATTATTTATATAGTACGCGTGTCAAGTTTTGTAAAAACGGTGTCGGAAAGCTCTCAATAACGTCATAGCAGGTTGTCGAGTCATCAAGTTCGAGTCGTTGGCTCGTTGCGTTGTATCGTTGCATTTCGCTTTCGTTGCGCGCTCGTAACTCGTAACCGCAAACCGGTTAGCTTAGCGCAACCTTAAATAGTGAAAAATAGTTTATAAACCAATGATTAACTTGATTTATCATATACTAAATAATCCCTGAGGCTTCGTCTTCGGTTTAAGTGTATTAAATATTAATCTTTCATTTGACGGCAATAGCGATGTATTCGTAGAAATCATAATTTTGTATAGTATTAACATAGGTATAGTATACCTACTTTGCATCGATCTTTAAACTACCCATAACTTTTAGTCATAGCAAGCGCAAATCTTCGCTGTAGAATGATAACCTCGTATGTCCAGAGAACCAAACATTACAGGAAATTAAAAAAATGTTTAATTTCGTCAATGTTCGTTAAAATATTATAATGTGTTTTTGTCCATTGTTTTAGATGGTAAAATGGACTTATTTATTAATAACATAAATAAGTCCTAACTTCACGATTATACCAGTTAAATGACATAAGAGTCTAAGATTAAAAATAATGGGTTTTTGACATACGAAGTTGTCATTCTACAGTGACGAAATAGAGATCGGAAATCTATAGATCATTCTATCACGCGTGGTATTTACACCCGTGTTGTAATTTTATTATGTGCTAATCATACCAATAAAAAGCTTTAATGATTTACTAATATGAACTATCTTTAACAGACTGCGTCTATTTCGAGACGTCGTCGACGTCTCCGTACCAAATCCGGCGGATAGAAGAACTAAATAAAACAGCCTCCGGCAACGTGGAGGCTAAGGTCATGTGCTTCTACAGGCGGCGGGACCTGCCCAACCCCCTTATACAGTTAGCTGATAAGCATCAAAGTAAGTATATATTTGATTACGTTGTATTATCAAACCCTGAAATGGGAGGGAGAGGCAGACAGACCTCAGGCCAACTCAGCAACGAATACGATTTACACGGTTATCTTGTATACGTGGGTAGTACTTTATAATTTTACTTAAAAAAAGAGTAATAAGGATCTTCAGAGTAACTTTTACTGCATTTGTTGTTGTTTTTTTTTATCAAAAATTACTGGTCTGATTTATATTATTTATCAGTAAAGCCATATACTGGAACTAGCTCTCAATTATCGAAGTTTCAGTGCCCCGACGATTTGCGAATATACAAATTATAAGTGATGTGTCGTGTTATCGATCCGCTAACTCCCCCCGCCTTGTACAATGTCTAATATTGTACAATCCAAAAATTAAAGGAATAAATTGAGCGTCCTTTGTTATAAAGGCCACGACTATTGATTTTCTCATGCGTGATATAAATACAATGATTTTGGTGAGAGCGTCTCTGCAAATGCGTACCGAGGTGTGGTATGATAATTTTCTATTAATAGACGATTAGCCTATATTAAGAATGGCGACTAGGAACTTGCGCGTGTCTGGAAACCTCTATTATGCTGAATCATTGACGCATTCGATGTGTTTTGATTAATGTAACTAAAATTGTTTGTTTAAAATCGTAATTTGCTCTACATTACTGATAAGTAAACTCAGTTTCTACAAGCGCATTGTAATTGCTTGGCATATGTATAATACTATTACAGCGTTCTTTACGCAAAGGTATAGAATTTTACTAACTGAACCTAAGTTTTTAGTGTTTCTGTATTTGTATATAATTTTAAAAGAAAAACAGCGGTTATAGTATAACTTTTAGTAAAAGGTCAGTTTTTATATGTAGGCAAATTAAGAAATTCGAATCACGTAAAAAAACCAATTTCATTTTTCGACTTCAACGGTTTATATGTAATTTATTTAAGTACGTACAAGCGTAACACCGTCTGCAATCCTTATCAAATGTTTAATTAAAATTTGAATTTATAAGTTAAAATGGTTAAATATTGAAATGCATTTACAGAGACAGCTTTAATTGTAATTAAAACCGAAACATTCATCTCATCGACTTTCATTAGACGACGGAATACCTTTTACCTGAATAGTGAATACTGAATAGCGTTTTATGCGGACAAAGATTATATGCCATCAGCTACAAAACATGTATACGGAAAATATTTCTTTACCTCCATCTTTAAGAAAATTTTCTACAGTTTTATTTCAATACAAATTTTCAATATGTCTATTTTGTAATGACATTTTATGAATTTCAAGCTGTTTCAATTTGAGAACCTGTACTATTTATTATTATTATTAACCTATATAGGTAATGTTCCTGTTTATTCCACACGAATTCGTAGCCTTAGTAAATGACTCAGATTAAAAAAATTGTTTATTAATTTAACAAAAAATTATTTAAAAAAAAATTACAAAAAGTTAGATTTGGGAATCCTTTTAAGTAAAATAATATCTGTGTCAGATTTTTCATTACTTTGGAAATTAAGTGGTTTTTCCAATCCTACACATATTGCGACATCACATATACGCATAGAGCTATTAAGCAAAGGATTGTGTGGTGAAGGCATTTTAAATTGTATATGTGCATGGCAACCGAAATTTGAGAAAATAACCCGACTGGTTGGGACAAAGATCGTGTGTTAATTCGGACCGGGTAGACAGCGGGACGCGGGGGTCGGGGTTAGTAAACATAATCATGGCCGCCCGTTCTACAATTTAGTAGCTAAATGGGAATGAAGAGTTCCCCCCTCACCCACCGATCCCGCCTGCCCGCGATACCCACGCTTTTTATACACTTATTGAAATTACCCAGATTTGTTTGAATCCCAAAACACTCGGGGTCACATAGAATTTCAAATGTAACGCCACTAAGGACATGCGTCGTTAACGCTGGTTCGTGACCGTTATGTAGAAGTCTACCCCGCAGATGGGTGGAATTGAAATTGGCTGTTTTATATTCTATTAATTAAGTAGCATTGTTTACGAGGTACGAACTCATGAATCGTGATTACCAAGAAGCTGTTATGTTTTATTGACAAATGCAATGATGTTGTATAAAACAGTAATCTAACTTCTTAACTAGATGCCACCCGTGCCCACCCCTTATCGACCGACGCTCGCATCTCGCAGGTACACGCAACACTTATCCCGGTTTTAATTGTCACCACGCGCTGATGACCTCGGTCTATTCGATTGTTCTGGCGTCATTAAAATAGTTGGATATCAATAATAAAATGTAAATACAGCCTACATATTGTAATACTCTTTAAAATCGCATTGGTAATATTTTAAATGTTTCTCTGTATAATATATGATAATACATTAAGAACCTATTTTAACAAATTCAATGTCGATTAAATTCATTATTTAAATTGTAGCAATTTTGCAATTATTTATTTAAATTCTGTTCTCAATTACTAAAAACTGCATCTTTTAACCGAACTATTACTCACATAGATAAACTATTTGAATTAATGTTAAATGAATTCGTAAGTGGATAGATTTATTGAATAATAATTTGCATAGTAATAGCTTATAAGTCAGGTCTTAGTAGAGGCTGAGCTCATTTTAGACAATAACCTTGAGTAATAGGCATTTTTAATTACATAGTTGAGGTTTTAGATAACTTTGGTGGAGATGAAATTAATTTGATAATAACAACAATAGAAAAAGTTAGTTAAATTCACTTACAACTAGGGATCAGTCCCGTCTGAACACGGATATATATATTATATTTTTAAATCTTTCAGAAATAAATAGCCTATGCTAATCGTGGATAATCATTCTTATGGTGAAATAGTTTTAAAATCGGTCCAGTAGTTTTTTAAGTTTATTCGTTACGAAAATACAAATATTTTCTCTTTGGTATAGATGTTAATAACTTGCATCTGCCAGGTTGTAATCAGTCTACCCTACCTTCAGTGAAGTCCTTGGCATCAGTTAGTTTTATAAACTATTTCTTTCTTTAATTAACATTATTTTATGAATACATAATAAAACTTCTTAGACCTTTTACACGGACTCCTCGTCGAGTCAGCTATTCACACAATATTTCTACCGCTAGTGTTGGCTCGCGTCCCACAAGATTATAAACTTTAATTGGATACTTAGACTGAATATTATCCGATTCCCATTCAAACATGCAACTATGTAATTGGATTCTTAATACTATTAAGCTTGTGTGAAGTCGTAAGTACTAGGATGTGTATCGTATCTAAAGTTTGCTCATAAATAAACATCTATTATAAAAAAAGGTTAAAAGTTTCATGATCTTTCTAATGGACCTTGGTCTTGGCCTCAGTTGAGATCTCGTCTTTCGTGATTATTTCTCTTTATTTCAGTGATCACGCCTACTGTTTCTGGCAAAAGGTGGGTCGTTATTTTAGGTATGGTATAATTCATCAGGAAATTATATGGCATTCTTTTATTTACTAAGAATTCCTAATTTTTGAAAAATTGGAACGAATTACATCGCCGGACGCTAGAAACACTGGGTTATGATTCAGAAACGAAACTTTGCGCTAGACTGATCATTCAGGTCAAAAATGAATTTTGACATACTGGAGTTATAGTTCGCGTCAAGTTTTTTGAATATAGACAATAGACAGAATTGTGCAACCATTCGGTCACTCCTAAAACATTTCGCAATTGATCAGGATAGAGTTCTGACAAGATTGGGACGATGCAGTAAATTATTATTAGTTATTATAAATATTGCATTATTATTACATCGTAGAATATGGCAAACATAAAAAGCTTTTGACATTTCCCTGGACATCTACCATGATACTTTTATGACGTCATCAGATTTATTTATAGCATACATTTTTTAATATTAATACATTAACACCTCAGTGTGCCTTTCCAGTAAGTTATTTGTTACCACTAAACATTTTCCTAGTTTTGGTGTCTAGTTTCAAATACAAATCTTTATAGGATACGATTGTGCCACAGTTCCTTAACGCCCGAACCCAATAATCAATCCACGATTGTTTATTCTGATCTCCAAAAAAAAAACAATCTGAGATCAGACCGTGACAGTCGATCCATCTCCTATCTGCATCCCAATAACCAAACCCTACGAAGACAGTCCATTTTTGGCGACGGATAAAATGCTCTTTGTCGTTCCATTTAACCGAGTTTTCACTCATATTTAATTTTGATAATCAATGTAAACCAAATAAAGTAAATTAAATACAAATAAATTAAAATATAATGTGTATGTTTAAAACATAACAAACGGATTTTTAAATATTTAAAAAACTGGTGTAAGTTAAAATCTGTAAAAAATAATTAACTGTTAAATCGAGTTCGACAAATAACATTAAAATATACAGGTCTATGTTCAACAGGCCTATCATACTATGAACCTCATATGTTAAAATCTTGACTGACGGATGAGCTATTGACAACCGTCGATTGTTTATTGGAACACTTATCCACAGACTTATCATACGACCTCCCGAAGATGGCTTGTATGTCAGATGGCTATTAAATCCGTTGATTGGTGATTGGGCACACTTGCTACGACATTTGGATTAAGATAACTATGTCAGATGGTGAAAAATTGATAAGTTATTGTGCTCTGGACGTAAACAATTCTGAACATTTTGGTGCTAAGGGCTATGGCACACAAAACGAACTATAAACGTCTGTGAAAGATTTTCACCCTAGTGTGGTATTTCGCACTTTCCTCGCTAGACAACTGCGACACGGTTTCCCACATGTTATGTTCATGACTAACATATAATCAGTATTTTGATTTTGAAGTGAAACTTCTTTAGGCGCATGAGGGTAAAATTTTTACGGATGTGCAATTAAGTTGGTTCAGATGATGCAGCGATTTTGTCGAAGAAAAGGGAGAGAGCGATTGAGACCGATTGAGAGCAGTAAGAGCAACTAGCAATATACGAAATACTATTTTTAAAATTAATATTTTGTAAAGAGAATTTATGAAATATTAGTTTTTTATATTTTATGCAAAATAATTTATTGAAATCTCAAATGACGAATTGTAAATTAAAATGCCACGTGTTTTTATTATCGAAGAAATAAATTTAAAAAAATATATAATTCGTATTAATTTTCT